CCCCTACCCCTCGTTAGTTTCAGTTTCTACGGATCTTACATTCCACGGATTTTCGCGAATTCCCGGCAGCGCGATCCGGACCCGCAAAGTCGAAATCTCGCTCTTCGCGAGCTTGCCGATAGCAGGTCTGCGAATCTCAAATTCCTCCTGCGATTCCCGCTTTTCGATTGCCGCGCATCGTACCGCCGACATAGACGCCGACGTTAACTAAGTCTAATCCGGCGGATTTTCCGGATACTCCGGGGATCCTAAACCACGGCGGAGGTCCAACAAGTCCCGTAGCCCGAGATCTCTTTCGCAGACCTCAGGAACCTGACACTCCACGTCTCCGCGTCCCGTGTAATCACGGTGTCGCGCGCGATAATCCACTTCCCGAGCGATTCGGATTCTGCGCGTCCGGCGAACTCTCAGGGCTCGGCCGGTCTCGCGTGAAAAACCGAGCAATCGTCCGAACGCTCGGTACACCGCGTTGAGGGCGCATCGGTGCCGATACCGCGAAACCGTTCGATTCGCGATAAATCGCGAAAAAAGAGAGAGAGAAGGATAGAGATGTGTATACGTCGCATCACGGTGTGATGAATCGCGGTGGCCACACGTACACACACGTACACACGACGTACGCTCATGCACGCACGCGGCCGTCGACGTAGCGTTCTCGTTCGCCGGCGCGTGTCCACAATTGGGAAAAATCGCGGTTCCGGCGGAACGTGTTCGAGGGCCGAAGCCGGCGAGGAGAGGCTCGCCGCGGCGAGGTCGATGTCCGGGCGCAACAAGTGCGCTCGGCACTCTCTCTCTCTCTCTCTCTCCTCCCCTCCCTCCCTCCCTCCCTTCTCTCTCTCTCTCTCTTTCTGGACGCGTTCGCGATCGGCTTCGATAACGCCACGCGACTTTCGACGGCACGGTCGACCGGCCGGCTCGTTCGTTCGCTGATCGCGAAGCGTCGACCTCCGAAATACGCGGCCGAGACGCGCGTCGCGGTGCTCTGGCTCGCTCGTTCGCCGCGTGCACGGATTTAGAGACGGCGGCCGTAACGAGAGCGCCGGAAGCCGAACGACCTTTTTGAGGTTGCGCCGTGGCGCGCGAAGTTTTCACTCGNAACGACCTTTTTGAGGTTGCGCCGTGGCGCGCGAAGTTTTCACTCGGGAGAAACAGAGAGGGCGAGAGCCGGCAGGAGAAAGAGAGAGAGAGAGAGAGAAGGGGAGGCCAGCCGGTTCCACGCGGCGCATCAAGTGATGCTCATGTACGTTCGGGTGCCCCGGCTTTTTTCACCGTCACTCCGATCCCGAAAACGCCGATATCGTCCGGATATTCTTTTCCTCGTCTATCGATCGCGCCGGCGAAGGACGGAGGAAACGGGAGCGAGATAACCGCGGATATTCGGAACGAACTCGTCGCGCGAGTCTCAGAATCATCGGCTAGCTTCGGCGGCGAAATTTCCCTCCGGGGAGCCGCGCGTGAGATATTTCGGATCGCGACGTGTTCGACGAGTCGCCCGGTGCGAAGCGCCGCGGCTAGAGCGGCATTTTTCAGTCATCAATCGTCGGATAAAGCGTTCGTCAGCGGATCTTCGTCGCGAGAGGCGCGCGCGAGGGGGAAACGCAAGGAGCGAGGACCGAGAGATCCTCCCCCGCGGCGTCTAATCACTTCCCCGATGACGAATTCGGCGCGTTCGACGGAGAAAAGGAAAACCCCTCCATTGTCGAGTCCGAAAGTATCGCGCGGATATCGATACTCGGACAGTATCGACGTATCATGAGCATCCCTAGGCGCGCCGCGGAGCCTCGGGTTGAGCGCGAGAGGTCGACGTCCGGGCGCGCAACAAGTGCCGCACTACGTACACGTACACACGTACCGCTGTGCCCTCCCCGCTCCCTTCACCCCCGGCCGCCCCACATGCGCGCGCACACACACACACAGAACGCGCACCTCCCACCTCGCACAATCGCACGGCCACCGCAACGGAGTCCCTCTTCACCCCCCTTCGAGGGAGGCATTCCTCCGTCTCTGTCTCTCCCTCGCTCGCTCGAGAGCTCCCTTTGCTTCTCTTTGCGCCACCTCGGCCGACAGAAGGCGAGAGAGGCGGAGAGAGAGAGAGAGAGAGAGAGGGAGGGAGGAAGAGAGACGGGAAGAGAGAAAATCGCGAGAACGACAAACGGGAGAGACGGAGCGAGACAGAAACGGGGAACAGGCGCGCGGAACGAAGGAGGAAGAAGGAGAGACGGAGAGAACGCGTGACCGTGCTCTGCGCGCGCGCGCGCGCACACCACGCACCGTCGTCGGTAAATATAAAACTGCACTGGGTCAGGGATCCGTGATTTATCGGCTGCCTCGTGTAATTGGCCGCCGGCCAATAGATATATACCCCCCGGGTGCACCGGGAGAACGGTGGTCGCGGGGAACGCGCTAGCCGGGTCTAAGCGTTCGCCACCCCTCCCCCTCATATTTCTCTCTCTCTCTTTCCTTCTCTCTCTCTGTTTCTTCTTCTCTCCCTTTCCTCTCGTTTTCGAATGCGCCACCTATTCCCTAGCGGTCTTAATCATCGATTACGAACCTCCTCCATTTGTCTATCTCGGAATCGCATTTGACGACCGCGACGGAAGCGGTGCACGCGCTCCTTCGACCGGCCGAGCGCAATTGAGCGTCCGACGATCTTACAGAAGACGCGATCTTCAGACGATATCTTCGTTGGTCCGGGTCCGCAATAGATCTTTGGTCTTTTGCTCTAAGCTGTATATTGTAATTTCTAGCTTTTCCAACGCAAAAGCGTTTCCAATCCTACCAGTCGCGATTTCTAAAATTCGCGCGTTATTGCGACTTCTGGCAGAAATTACGTTTCATCGCGGAAAAAATATTTAGCTTCTGCACAGCAAGCTTCCCAGTTACTGTACGGACAGCAAAGGGATTAGTTACGCGGGCAAAATAATGTTAATGTTGTAACAAAACGTTTAGTTGGCCTAACCAAATTATCTTGCTGTCTATATATCCAGCGAACAGTAATTAATACTCTTAACAAATCTTTCCGCTGTCGCAACAAAATCTTTTTGCTGTCTGTGTAGTAACCGGAGAAATTTGCTGCGCCAGCGAAATCTATTTTTTCCGTGATTGCTCGGAGCAAGAGGCTACAAGCTTATTACACTTACACAATACTAAACACTTTGTATTTGTATTAAGATCGGTTCTTGTTAAAACTTGCTAAAACTTTTATGTTAAATTTTCAGCAACCCCCAATGCGTTAATTTAACATATCGCGTTCACGTTATATTAACATTATTCTGTTGTGTCGATATTATAAATATTATCGTCTTAAGTTCATCTTCAAATGTTAGCCAATGAAATGAGTCGTACAGCATCTGAAGATGAACCTAAGATTCCTTTAATTTCCGGTGAAATTGCGCGATGCAGAACTCCCCGGAGACTCCTCACGCGCTCGTACGAATTGCAGATCTGCTTCCCCCCTCTCTCTCTCTCTCTCTTTGATAAGTAAAATCTCTGGAGAGTTAATTGTCGGTTGTCGTGGTTTAGAATCCGCAGGGTCGCCAGACGTTTCGAAAGGAACGCTGTCGCGTCGCAACAATTTCGCACGACGCTCGCGCGCGTCGCGCTAATGCGAGGGAAGATCTCTCTTTCTCTCCTTCCGTNATATATATATATATATATATATACACGCGCGCGCGCGGAAAAGATAGCCGTGGAAGAGGAAACAATGGGTAGCCTCTACGCGGTCGGAGTCTCACCACGCACGCGAGAACGGTTGACGCACGCTTTCGCGGAGGTCAAATTCCACGCGCGACTAATGCTGGTGCGTTGCCGCCGCCGTTGCAGCCGCCACGGCGACCTTCGTGGTATTTGTTAGGCCGTAAATAAAGTGCGCTGGTATCTGGAATATAGAACCGTGCGCGGATGACACGTGCGATTAGGTGCGAGGGGAGGAGGAAGAGCAAGACGCGCGATAGATCCGCGCCGTTAATATATTTCATATCGAAGTCGAGCCAAGCGAGAGCCGCAGCAGCTGAGATCAGCAAATCGTTCCACCTTCGACGACGGTGGATTCTTAGGTTGGTTTCGAGTCGACCTCCCCTCCCCTCGGCGAGGAAGGGCGCGCGGAGGTAATCGTTAAGGGGATGCCAAAGCCGATGACAAACTTGATAAACGTCGATAACGCAGAGACGATTCTTCAAATATCATGTTTACATAAACGCTGACACGATCACGCTCTACGTCTTTTTTGTGTTTCTCCCACGCATAGATTTTACGGTGCAGGTGTGATAGAAATGTGAATGCGATGGATGTGCGCTACTCTGTTTTACTATATTTAACGGGAAATTTAATGAAGATATATAAAAATGTTTGTCTTAAATCAATGATAGGTAATCTCATATATAAGCCAAAATATTACATTTTTAGATTTCTATTCTTGAATTGTAGTAATACTCGCATCAACACAAATTCAATCAAATCGAGACTAAAAATCTTCTAAGAAGATTATAATATTCTCACTTATACGTATGAGAATATCTATTTTTGCATGTGATTTAAGACTGATTTTTTTCTGTGTAATCTTTGTCGGCGGGAAATGTATTTTGCAATTTTTGAAACTACCGACACTACCGACGTTTCGATAGCTGGATTAGAATCAAGTAATTAGTTAGGCTCGCGTTACCTTTGCGGACGACGTTTGAGAGGAAGAAAATCGATTCAATAGAGGTGAAGTCTGAAGACGAGATTAACAAAACTACTAATCGCAATAATTAAGGACGCGCAAGTGCGGGGAGGGATTTCCGGGTGTAGCGAGGGACGCTCGTCGTCGCGCGATGCCGCATTGAAATTCGATACTACGAGACGCCACTTACATGAATGAAAGTCCCCACGTGCGCCGTGAAACAGCATGCGATCGCCATCTCTTGCGAGACGCGCGAAAGCTGCGCGCACAGTCGCGCCGTAAAGCCTTCCGACACGCGTAAAACATGTCCTACACCGCCGAGCTCTTCGCATGCTTTTACCTTGGTGCGGTAAAAATCGCTGCCTCGAGGATGATCCCGCGACGGCCGGCCCGCTATCTGTCTGAAATATACCACGGATCTCTTAGCTGTCAACATCTCACTGCCACGTGCCGCTTGCAATAGTGACCACAAACACGAAATTTCATGCGTGCATTCTATCACGTTTCTCATAGATCTGTCATACACTTATTTCTTTCCTGTATATCTCTCTACTGTTAATGTTTTAGATTTTCGATACTTCTCGAGTCGTTTGTGATTTCTCAAACTCTAATTACGGATTCTGTCAATGTATTCTCCTTTACGTTCCATTGACGAATTTTTGCTTCGACGACTTCTGATATTTTGACGTTTCCCAGACCAGGATTGTATAGGTTAGTTTAGGTTAGATTAGGTTAGATTGCACGTGCTTCGATATATCGCATGCCTTTACGCGCCGACGTGTTTTATTTGGCCACTATCCGATTGAAATTCAACAAGATGCGCGATGCATACTTTGATTGATGAGACGGGTCTCCTCAGGACGGACTCGAATTTGCTGATGTTATCGTAGATAGGCGCATTGTAGGACGATAATCGCCCCTTGCTCGAATACAGGGCTTTCAGTGAATCGAACTTGTCGCTTCTCGCGTCCAAACTCTCGTCCGACTCTTCGCTACTGTCCTTCTCGTCTGCCATAGGTAGATTCGTTTGTTTCACTCACGCACACGATTCGCACTCGCGTTATCGAACGTAACAGGATAAACGACCGTTCGTTGATGTGGCGTCACGTCTGCACTCGGCGTGCGGGAAAAGCGGAGAGTGCAGTATCGTTGTGAGACGAGCGTAAAGGCGGGAAAAGTTCAAAGTGCAGAATGGCTTCTTCGCGCTTCCCGGTCTCGACTGAAATATTTTCACATCGACGCCTGCATCGTAATCACGATACACACGAGGAATTTTATCACTTCAGCTAGGAATGTAAACTTTATTTTATTGGGAAAGGAAAGAGAAATAATTGCCGTGTGTATAAATTGTTTTACTCTGCTACGTTCTCTCTCACAACCGTACACGTGATTTCTCTGTTGTTTCACTTATAGTAAGGAAAAAAAAATAAATATATGGAAGTATGATACATATATGGCGGCGACGAGCGATATTCGGACGAGATAGACGAGAGAAGAGGATGTTAACCTCTCCTCGTGGAAACTTTCTTTCGCGGCGGCGAGTTACGTAAATGCAACGGCGCGTCGTAGTAGAAGCTGCATAGAAATGCAACGGCGGCGGTGGCGGGAGAGCGCGAGGTTACGCGCACAGGAAGTGAAACAGCTCTACGAAGCCAGAAAGAAAGTTCTCGCTCCGTGTTTTCACTTTCATGGAAATTGCCGGCGTATTGCCCTCGTCCCTCCACCTCCTCCTCTTCACCTGACAACGATGGCATTACGCGAATTAGCCGCGAACTATCGACGTCGCGCACCGACGAGCAGTCTCGTCAACCTAACGATCTACCCTTCGGGATGAAACTCGGGGAAAAAAACGAGATTTCTGCATCTCTCCTAATTGTAATTGGGCATTCCCTTAAGGCTCGGCAGGAGCCAAATATCGATTGTGTCGAGGTGCTTAAGCGAAAGAAAAAAAAAAGTTCGTAAACGAAAGAAAAAAATGCGATACTTGTAAATGCGTGAAGGGCATTTTTTTTGAGAGAGAAGGAGTTTCAAGAAATCGACGATGAAGCATGTGCGAAAGAATATTTAGTGTATTCAGTTAATTATAGTGTCCCTCAGATAGCTCAGTTCTACTTTGCTGTGTCTCAGAGGGAGGCACTGTCGCGTTTAAATCATTATTATATGAAATTATAATGTAGGAAACCGCAGTATCCTGCGAAATCGGTAGGTTTTACTTTTTCCCTAAGTATAATGGCGCTTCATAAATCCTCGTATCAGATTTCAGATGCATCTTAATTGGCGATCTGAAATCCGCATTACGGGGCGAAGAGAGATCTCTTTCTTCGCTGTACTTCCTTCACATTTTTCCGCGTAGTGTTACATCGTGTATAAATTCATGCGGGTATGTACTTACATATACCACACACACACACACACACACACACACACGGCCGGAGAAAGTAACATTATAATCAAGCTACGATTTAACCGAGTTCAAATTAGAATCCGTATGAAAGTGCGAACGCACGACGCACCGGAAATCGTTGCGAGATTGCCGCGAGATCTCGTTTCGCGCGTAATTAAGCCACTTGAATATCTCAAGCTCCTCTCATTAAATCCGCGCGGGAGAGGAGGGGACTCGACTCGACGGGTTTTTGTTTTCAAGAATTAATTGATTTTACGAGTTCGCGAGGCGAATCTGACCGTTGCGCGCGTTCTGCTTTCAGAGGAACGACACGAGCGCGTAGAGGAAGAAGAGGACGAGGAATCGTTCGATTGCTGCACACGCGGCAGGCGTAAAGGCGGGGTAGGTCCCGGAGGTGGTTTTGGATGTTAGAGGGCGCGGGGGTGGCTAAAGTGGCCCCACCGCCGGATACGGGTCCCGATGCCGGTCCCCGTATCGCAAACCCTCACGCTGACCACCACCCTCGTACCCAAGGAGGAGTCAAACATGCCCTTCATAGACGACGAGCTACTCTGGTGCCCTGACAATGACGGCAAGATGGTCGATCTAACCCAGTGCCTTCAGGTGAGCAGGCGGAATATGTAGCTCTGGAGAAAGTGAGAGGGGGAGGACAGCCAGAAAATCCACATCGAAAGAACACATTAGTATCAATTCAAGACTCATATTCTCATGTGTAAACAAAAATGCAATCTTATGTGAAGATAAAAGTTGCTCTTGCGCGAAGAAATTGTATATAGTTCTACTAATATCATACTCTATGTTATTATATTCTAACATTTACTTTCTAATAATATAATATCATATTCTTGTTATTCGAGAGTGATCCCTATGAATCGAGAGGGAAAATATCAGATATAGAAAGAACGATATCTTCGAACTGATACAATTCTTAGCTTGGTATTCGTAATCGGAGCTTATGTTTAAGACTGTCTTAAGTTTATCTCCAGATGCTCTACGGCTCATTTCGTTCGCTACGAAATATCTGAAGATGATCTTAAAATGGTCTTAAATACAGGATCCGACTATGAATACCGACTTTAGTTTGAAGATGTCGTTTTTTCTATTCAACATTTTTCCCTCTCAGTTCATGAAATTATTAAATTATATTTATATAAAATTATACATTTCTAGTGGAATTATATAGAATTTCCTCATGTAAAAGTAAGTTTTATCTTCATACAAGATTACATGTTCTTGCTTATATATGAGAATATAAATTTTGAATTAATACCAACTTTGTTTTTCTGTGCAGTATTTCTAGCTCTGTAAACTTCCGGAGTTTCTAAGACTTGATATTGGCAAAATTTACGACCCACCGGCTCGAGATACGAGCTACGAGTGCATTAGTGGGAGGGATATCTGTCGATCAGCAGATAAGAAGGAGAGTTACTCTCGTCTTCATCTTGAAATCTCTTGCGCTTGCAGGAGAGCAACACAGGCCAATCGGTGGAGTTCTCCCCGATGGAGTTAAGCGCTCTAGTGGGAACGCCGGCGGCGTCGAATGTGCCGGCGGAAGAGGGCGAGGGTATGCCCGGTGTCACAGGGGAGGAACCCTTCGACCCCCTGGATACATTCCTGCGGGAACTGTCGGTCGATCTGCCTGAGCCCAGTCAACCGACCTCCACTACGACTTCCGTAACTTCCTCCTGCAGGCGGCAGAGGTACAACATCGCCGCTGCGAACCCTCTATTAGCAGGTGATTGTTATGTATCACGTTATCAATGCTTGTAACTTTGGAGAACGTGAAGTCTTAAGTACCTTTTAAACGTCCGAGAGACATTTCTACGGCCTATATACAGAAAAAAAATGCAAATTTTACTTCGATTAAGTAAATTTTATTCGGGTGAAATATTTTATTTGGATAATTTACTGAGAAAATATTTTACTTGGATCAAATAAATATTACTTGGTCCAAGTAAAAATTTTCTAAGGATTTTCTAAGGATATTGGAATAATTATTGTTTACTTGAATCCAGCATTTTTTTCTGCGTATTAATCGTCGTTATTTGAAACTTGTTTCAAGTGAAATATTCATATATGAATTTATAGTTGGAGATATGAGTTGTTCAGCAGAATCATGACTAAAATACGAAACGTCACATGTAAACGTCACGTGTATACATGATTCAACAGAAAAGTCTGATCTAATTTTAAACATTTGAATCTAAATATCTTACGTGAGACAAGTTTCGAATAACTATGATTAATAATCCTAAGATATTTCTTTCATTCATGCGCGTTGCGTGAACGTAGTTTTTTTTTTCTGTTGCGACATCTACAATAATTGTCTCTCAACATTGTGTGTCCAGAAAAATTAGCGGCATCCTCGACGCAAGCATCTCCGGCTTCTATCCCGTCGTACGTCGCGCGGACGGAGATCAAGACGGAGAACATACAACCGGAGCCGAGTAAGGGTGAGTCGATATTTTATCATCATTTTATATCTTTTCTATTCCGACGCACCGTCGGTATACATTACTGAAGAACCACACGGTTACCGACCGGTGTAACCACCGATACGAATCCCGTCGCCTTATCGACGAGAACCGGCAGCCGGTAAAGCGCGCTTCTTATTTACCGATGATGGGCTACAGTCTTCTTTATCGTCGAGTAATGAGCGTGTGCGCTTCGGTCCGTCAAGTCGTTCTCTGCCCTTCCTGACGGCAGTTCGAACGGCCGCGTGTCTGTCCGAAAGGAAAACCGGCCAAGGCCCCGCGAATCGCGAGCAGACATCCGCGTTAGCGATAATCTCGCGCGTGTGCGTTCTTACGTATGGTGACACGGAAAAAAAACAACGGGCGATGACGCGCGGGTATGTGCGCTGGCCCAATTCTTACAATTTGCGATCGTGTCGTAACGCGACGCGACTTAGCGCGGCCCCGACGTGCGGAAGGACGTCCGCAAAAATGGCGCTGTTTCGCGCGTCTCGCTGGAACAACCCGGAGCAGAAACGTCGACAGATTCGTTTTTCCGCACTTGGGCGTGTATGTACATTTACTCAGCTTCTTGAGGTACTCAATTTCAGACACTTAACCTCTTCAAGATATTGGTATGTATGTTTACAGTTGGCGGATTAACAGTTGCAACACTTTCCTTTTCGATGGGTTTCGTCACGCACCTAACGTATCCAATAGAAAAATGTATTTCCTAAAAATTACAAAGAAAGAAACAAATTCTCCTATTGGATCCGGAAAGCGTTGGGAGACTCATCGAAGAAAAGTGTTGCAACTTTTTATCCACCGACCGTGCGTTTAGATACATCCAATTTTTCTCATCTTACTCATATTCATAACCTACAAAGTTAGAGCGAGCGTTACTGTGAGAACGAATATTCATCGCGAAATCTCACAAGAAAGATGGAAATCTTATCACATGATTGGTAGATGTCATATTTAAGATTAAACAATTTCCTTGTGATTTTAATCGAGTCCCCGAAGAGGTTAAGTGTGCGCACTTTGCTTTACGCGAGCCTCGTCATGAGGTGGTCGATTTTTCGTCGTAAGTCTCATCTTTAACCGAATCGTCCAATAATTCTCTCCGAAAATGCGAAATACCGAATCATCGTTCCTCGAATGACACCTTTTCGCAGATGTCGCGTCTCAAAGTGCCGAAGTAAATGCGCGTGTTCCTAACATTGTTCGTCGAACACACACGTTTGTCCCCGATAGCGATAGGATCAACCGACGTTAAGAAGCCAATAGATTCGTACAACAAATTTGTCGCTGTTTTGACATCCGCAGGATTTGTTGCGCGTAAATCCAATTCGCTCCCGGACAAACACGGGATGCCACGTTTGCCACGTTTATTTGTAATTTTATCACAAAGCGCGTGAGTTTCGTAAATATTAATCAACAGGACGCATTCGAAATTTTGTTTTCCGATTTTCGCTGCGGCAACATCGACGTAGGCGTAACGCAGCGGCGACAATCGTCGATCGGCCCCGTCCGGGATTTTTCGCCCGGTCGATCTTGGCGCGCCGGTTTCGTCGGACTTTTGACGAGGCGGAGTATCGCCTTGCAATTTCGTCCTGACCGCAGGCCGCGACGAAGTAATTACGAGCCGTTAGAACACGAATTGAAGTGGGTGCTCATCGTTGTTCTTTTCACATTTTTAGAAAGCGGTTGGAAAGTGAGAGACGAAACTTTCTAACAAAACTATTACAAATACAGCTCGAGATATCTGCTTACGCGTCCCGCGCGCGACCATTATATCAAATATTTAATTGCGAGACAGAGCCCTCCGCCGGTGCCGGGCGACATTGTTTTCCCAATCTCGGAATATTTACCTCCGCGAGAGTGGAGGAACGCGCGGTCTCGATTATCACCGAGAGAGTTATTCATGTGTTTTCGAGTAGAACGTGTATTGCACGTTCCCTTAAATGCTCGAAATTTCACGCGCGCCGAAACCACGTTACACCGTGACGGGCGAAAATCCAACGAGATTTGACGGGAACAGTGGAAATAGTGTTTCCCTCTCGAACACTCGGGGGGTTATTTCGGATTGGTCGGCGGGGAAGTAAAGAGAGGAACGGTTTTTTGCAAAAACATTCCAGATAGAAAGGAAATCGTCAATATTTTTATACTTCGTGCAAAAAAGCTGAACGAGACGGCGATACATATTACATGTGTACGCGCTGTACGGAATAGCTCGAAAAAAACATCGCGCGGAAATGCAGCGTATCGAAACCGCGTATCGGGCACGGGAAAAAGAGAAAGAGAGAAAGAGAGAGAGAGAGACGCACTCGTGGATTAATTTATGCCGGCGTTTTTGTCGCGGCATCCGCGATTTATATTTTACACGAGAAGCAACCGCCGTCCTCTTATCTTTTTGCCCTCCCCACCCATGCCCTCTCCCCGCCTTTATTCGAAGTTGCATTTCCGACGGTTTTATATTTATCGGGATACGCGAAAGCGGAGGTTAATTAGGCTTTAATTGATCAAAGATGCNATTTCCGACGGTTTTATATTTATCGGGATACGCGAAAGCGGAGGTTAATTGGGCTTTAATTGATCAAAGGTGTCTCGCGTTATCCGGCAGATTTCGATCTGCCAGCCGGCGATACCTAGTGAACTCGTTAGGCGAACGGGAGGAAAGCGAGCGCATCGTGTACGTGTGTGCATGGGTGCGCGTACGTAATGCATGCATGTATACGCACACGCTAGTTTTCTGGCGTGTCGAATGGCGTGTGTCTTCGGCATGAGCATCACTTTCACCGAGTCCGCGGTGCGTAACGCGCGCAAAAAGCGGATTTTCACGCGGGATGCTCCATTACACGCTCGATCGGACGGACGCGAGGCGTGTCGCCGTCGGCGAATTTTCATACGCGTGCATGCGTGCGATTTATTATATTTCGCAGCGCGTCGCCGTACAGTTCTCCCTCTCATCTCACGATTGACCTCTTCCGAGACAACCACGACGACGACGACGATGACGAAGAAACCGCGCCGGCAGCGAGCGCGCTCGTGAAAACAGAAGTAGGGCAGAAGAAAGTAATCTCGCATTAAACGTTGGAACGCGAATAACTATATAATTCACTTTCGACTCGTTCTGTTACTAGACCGACCAGCTTCGGTGCAACACGCGCGCATTTCTTTCGACGACTTTCGCGATTTATCAGATTGCGATCGCGATGGAACAGCCGAAGGACTACCACGAGGAATACCTCCCCGAGCTATCGATTTTTCGATTTCCTCGCGACCTCGGGATTGCGCGGATCTCGAATCCCGTGGATTAGAGATCAGGTGAAAAACATCCTGAGATTCACGGCTCGTAGTTTCTACGTATGGTAGTTCTTTTTTGCAGACTTCCGCTGCACGTTTCTGTAACGATAACGGATAACTCTACATAGAAGAAAGTTTGGCGGAATGTATCTGATAGAGTGAGCGAACCAAACGCGTTTCGGTTGGGGGAGACGGAATTTCCGGTTATAAGAAGCGAATTTTGTTCATGGGAACTACATTGGAAGAAGGGTTTGGTAACAGTCAGCACGATTCGGTGAATACGTTTCGATCGAACTTTGATTACCGAATATCACTTAGCGTTTCCCTCGCCCAAAAGCACGGTTTCATTGTCCATCGTCAGGACGATAGATTCGGCCGAGCTCATTTTCAGCGTGTGTGTTATAAATTTCGAGTACCATCCGATTCCGACTCGTGCCGGTCGGCGAAATGGCGTCCCCGAAATCGAGCCTGATTTCCACGGAGGTCGGGGGTCCTCGCGAGCGCGTCCGGGAGTCCTGGATCCCCCGGATTCTGTCGCCCGCGGATTCTACACCCCGGCGGCGGGATTCTGCCGGGATCACGAATTCTGGGCCTTCCGCCGATCATAGCTTTCCGGGGTGGGGGGGG